CTCCGGCGCCCCCATCCGAGCCACCTCGCTGGCCGGGAACGGCTCGTGGACAGAACCTGCCTATTTCTATGTGGCTGATTACTGTGAGTTTGCATTTCTCTTCTTATTTTCTTCCCCAACATTTAATTGCTGATAGAAAACCTGGTTATTGTTGGAAGATGCGGTTTTAGGAAGGAGCACCCAGGGATATAGAGGGTCACAAAATTTTATCACAACACCCACTGTCAAGAAACTGGAAATGCCTAGGACTGTGTTGGTTTCTTTCCCTTCCTTGTTGAACCACAGTCTCATTCTGAGCATTCTGAGCAGCTCTGCATTCTGCAACTGAAGCAACCACTAGTTTCATGTTCATTCCTGTTTATTCAAGGGAAAGATTTTGTTCAAGAAAAGACTTGTGTTTTGAGGCCTGATACCTCTATCTCTCTCTTTCTCCCTTAGTGAATGCTCAGCCTAATATTGCTGTTATAATTGTTCCGATCATTTTTGCGATAATACTTGCTGGAATTATTGGAGCTGCTTACGTGCTTGTGAAAAAGAGGTGGGTACAATCTGACATGGTATTCACCAGAACAAATAAAACTTACATCCAAAGGGTTTTCTTTTTGTCCATGTTAGAAGTAATTCTGTTTGGTGTTAATTTTCTATTTAGATCATAAATTGAACGTTAGTTTAGGAAATAATTCTGTGCTTTTGGAAATTGGGTCACTTTATATTTGCCGTATGCTTTGGGAATTAAGAGATTGGCTTAAGTTCAAAAGTATCAAAGGCTGTGAATGCACCAAAAAGCTTTTCTGTCTCTTCCAGGCAAACTGAAGGACCAACTGGGCCGCTCTATGCATCCTCCAACCCCGAATACCTCAGCGCCAGTGATGGTGAGAGCAATGAGTGCTGTCCGTGCTGCTTCTGTCCTGTAGTCATGCGGACAGTGCTGCAATACGGGGTTGGCTTTGTCCTTTATGGACTTTTTTTAGCTTTTTTTTTTTTTTTTTTGAGAAGTTCGTGTCCTCGGTGACCTGTGGCGGTGCTGCAGAAATCTCATTCTCAGAAGTGTCTCCCTCTGTTTAACAGTTTATGTCCCGGACGAGTGGGAGGTTCCACGAGACAAGATCACTCTCCTGCGAGAGCTGGGCCAGGGCTCCTTCGGAATGGTGTACGAAGGGATTGCCAAGGACATAGTGAAGGGAGAGCCAGAGACTCGAGTAGCCGTAAAAACTGTTAATGAATCAGCCAGCCTCCGAGAGCGCATTGAGTTCCTGAACGAAGCTTCTGTGATGAAAGGGTTCAGCTGCCATCATGTGGTAAGCAGCTCTGTGTGCTCTTCCATAGCAGTGGAAGTCCCACCACGTGTATTTATATATATCAACATGAGGTATTTATAAAATATTTAATTCTGAAGCTTGATAGGCAGGTTACAAAGTAGCCCTTCTGAAAGAGACAACTGATTGAGAAGAGCTGGGATCTTTCCATGTCTTCTGTTTCTGTCAAACACGTTTGTCTGTCTGCAGTGTTTCACCCTGCTCTTTCAAGACTCGTGTGGGAGCTTTGGGGTGCTCCTCAGGGCAGGCTGGGCTTGCTGGTAACCCTCTGTTTTCAGAGCTGTGCTCTGCCCACTGTGTTTGGACACAATCCCAAAGGAAATTCTCATTTGTTTTCCAGGTTCGCCTCCTCGGGGTTGTCTCCAAGGGGCAACCTACTCTAGTAGTCATGGAATTAATGGCACATGGAGATCTGAAAAGCTATCTTCGCTCTTTGAGACCTGATGCTGAGGTAAAGATGGGAGAGGGGGACACTATTATGCAACAGATTAACTTGGCTTGATTTCTAATATTTTTCTTTTTTCTTTTGCAGAATAACCCTGGTCGTCCCCCACCAACACTGAGGGAAATGATCCAGATGGCTGCAGAGATTGCTGACGGGATGGCCTATCTGAATGCTAAAAAATTTGTCCACAGAGATCTTGCAGCTCGTAACTGTATGGTTGCAGAAGACTTCACTGTAAAGATTGGAGGTATGTAGCATGCGTTTAGAAGATAATTCTGTGGGTCATATCTGTTGAGAAGACAATTCTACGAAATTCAAGACCAGTGCTGTAAATGCACGTGGTCTCCACTGGCTCCCTTTGGAAATGCAGCGAAGAGCCCTGTTTTAATTAAAGGGGATGAGTATGTTTAGACTAGACACCATCACTAAAAGTTGTGTCTCTGGCTTCTCTATCATGGCCTTACAGTAGTTCAAAAAAAGAACTCAGCAGCCATCCGGGTCCCTCTCAGTAACCATCAGTTAAGCAACCGAGCTCACACTGACATCTAATACATCCTAATTCTTTTTTCAGACTTTGGCATGACCAGAGATATCTATGAGACAGATTATTACCGAAAGGGAGGCAAAGGACTGCTGCCAGTGCGGTGGATGGCACCTGAGTCACTGAAGGATGGTGTTTTCACTACTTATTCAGATGTGTGGTGAGTTGTGCTCTGCCTGCCAAGCTGGATTTTGGCAGAATTCTGACTTCTTCAGAATACAAACAAAACAAAGCCTTGTTTGGACTGTTTTTTAAATTATCTTCCTAAAAATATACTTCTTCTTTTAAAATATGTGTTATATTCTTACTAGAAGTCTTGTCTTTTTCCTTAGGTCATTTGGTGTGGTCCTTTGGGAAATAAGCAGCTTAGCAGAGCAGCCGTACCAGGGACTCTCCAATGAACAGGTGCTAAAGTTTGTAATGGATGGAGGATACCTGGATCAGCCAGACAACTGCCCAGAGAGGCTGTAAGTAGTAAAGCAGGTGCTGGTGATGGAGCTGTGCTCCTTTGGCTGCAGTGTGGCCTGCAGAGGTGGTACCTCTTAGCCCCTGCTCTGCAGGAAGAACTAAGCAGAACACAGGGAGCCGCCTGTCCTAGAAATGCAACAAAAATGTTCTCAGAGCCAGGAGTTAAAGCTAGAATCCCAAGCCAGCCTTTTTCCCTAGAATGGAGAAATAAAACCAGTCTGGACCTTTTATCAGGAGTACAGACTGCAGCGAATGACCTATAAAGCACAGGGAAAGCTTAAACCACAAGTAGGCACTGCCGCAGTTGCCCCACACGAAACGCTC